GGAAGTGCCAAGCCCACTTTTAACTGAACTGAGGGTGGTGAGTGGTGGTGTGGTGGGGGACAGAGATAAAGATCAGGGGAAAATAAAAGGGGTGTGCAAGGGAAGTAAGAGGGGAGGAAGGAGCTGGGGTGAGGGGGGGCAGGGACCTACTACACCTTTACACTTGCTCTCACCGCAGCACCTGATAAGTGCAATGGAAAAACGTCTGGTTTCCTCCTGCATGTTAAGTGGTTTATATTCTCCTCCTCTCCATGCAGCCTGTAGCTACAGTATGCTACTGTACTGACGCTGTACCCAGGTAATAACAGACAAAAGGAAATGACATACAAAACCAAAGGTGAGTAAGAAAGAGAGAGTTGGGGAGAAAAATAGCACACATTTTCTCTTTTTATAATGTCTGTGTGTATATGTGTGTTGTGGTTTTTGCGTTGTTTTTTTCTTTGTTCTATTCTAATTTGCACACGTGTAATCTGAACACAACAACTAGACAACATAAAAATCTTCTTTCCACTGCTGAACATTTATCCATAACTTTGAGCGTCTTTATTTTACAAACAGCTTCCACATCGAGATTTAGGTGCAATTTAATTTGCACAACAGCGGATTAGATGAAGGTGGATATATATCTTTACCACCTCACGGATGTCCTGACAAGGAACTCATTCCCATGATTTGTAAGTGGGTCTCTCCACTGAAAAGCATTAACAATATTCACTTTAGATAACATATGATTCTGGGCCCTGGGAGAGGATGGGTTTCTTAGAAATGCTTTGTTAGCACTCTCCCCCTTGATAAATGATTTAGGACATGTGGCCTGAGACATCAATACAATCTCTGTTGTAATTAAAAAAGGTGCGCACCAACAATATTACACAGCTTTCGCTTTGTCTGCCTGTCTCTTCTCTTCCTCTCCCTCACTCCCTCACTTTTCCTCCCATTGAGCCCTGGAGCAGTGAAGAGATAATTCAAAAAGCACTTGCATGGAGTGAAACATGAAAAAGGGAGACATATGAAATTAAATTCTCTCTTTTTGCTCTATTGTTCTTTCATTTTCTCTCCTTTGTTACATAAATGCATTAAAGCAAGGCAAGCTAGATTCTAATTATGATTTCCGCAAAAAGATGTTTTATTAAAAAAATGAAAGAATGGTTTCACAAACAAAGTAGACTGACTGTTCCAGCACTTTGTCAAAGTCAAAGTACTGGAGGTGTTCCATCACTTAACTTCAATAAACGTAATCTTTTTTTTTTTTGTTTTGTTTTCCCAACCATGCCCATGAACATTTGTATAATAAAATAACAGAAAGAATGAGACTTTGATGTCCAAACACAGCAAAATATAAAGAAAAAGGGAAAAATGTTTAATTTTCATACATAATCAGATTATTATTTTTCACGTGAAACAGGTAGAAGTATTATTTCCAGAAAGGCACAACTTGGCTTTCGTTCTGTGTCAAAACAAATGCAGTAGGAGTCGATTGGTTGACCGATCATTTGCACAACCTACGCTACTTTGAGAAGCTACCAAAGAAATACCACACCAACCACCATGCCGGATGGGTGCTATTTTTTGGTCAATAATGGGGTGGGGATAGGAGACTCTTACTATCACTATTAGAATGAGTGTGGGAAAAATTATAGGCTTGGTATTAGTCAGGGGTGGAGGGTGCAACGCATAGTCAAAGAATGAGGAAGAGGTTTAGGTTAGGAATAAAGTTTGAGGAATTGTTAATTGTTTGGTTAAGTTGTTTCCTGGAAGTGATTTCAGTTCAGACATTGCTGACTGCACATTTCAGTTGTTTTCATGCAGATTCTTTTATATTATCAATACTTGTAGGACTCGGCAAAAACTCGATACATCTTTCTCATCTGATGTCTAGGTACTCTTGTTGTGCAACTAAGGGGAAGTTCAGAGGCTTGCTCTATGGTTTAAAAGTGACATATAGGTGTGGGTGAGACCATTGGGTGTGTGGGTGGAGGGGAGGCTGGGAGAGATGAGTCTTACCCCAGTAGAGGGCAGTCTCTTGCCGTCAGGGTTTGGGCGCATGGGCAGGGAACTGTAGAGCCTTACACCTCGATCTGGAGCACCGTATCTGCTCTGGAGGGGGGGAGAGAAACAGAAAGACATTCAGTACTTTTTTTTTTTTAAACGGTAATGAAAATATACACATTTTAATAAAATTAATTTTAAAGTAATTTAGTTTCAAAGTTTCTCTACTTTTACTGTCTCAGCCAAAGTACAGAGATCATTCAGTCAATAAACACGTTTTTTTGATGGTTCTCCTTTTGTTTACCAGTGTTAGTTCCATAAATTTCTACCAAGTCACAAACCTGCACATTGGCTGCCAAGTTAGTCACATCACTTCATGGTGATGTACTACACATAATAACTGGATAAAATTGGCTCATGGAGCGGCACTAATGGTGCTAAGCTGTTGTGTTTGGTAGCCAGTGTTCCTATGCACTGGTTTACTACTGGCTCCATCTTTTTGTACATTACACAACTGATAATCGGAGTGTAGGTACTGGGTCTTAAGCCTGCCAGCTCCTCCCCGTACTGCCCCGTGTGGATTCCAGACGCACCTACGAGAGTTGCGGAAAAGCCCTCAGTACTTGGGAAGCTAATGATTCGCACAAAGTGATCTCTGCCAGGGAAAGAGAGAGTGTAGCTCAGTGGGGTTCACACTGTGGCCCACAGCCACAGCATGGGTACCTCACAGGATTTACTTCAAATCTAATGCTCTTAATCTCTTTGTCTTTATCAATCTCCTCACTTCACTCTCAGCTAGTACGCACAGCACTGCGTATCTGTTATTCTCTCGATATTCTGTTGTTTGCACATTAGCATCACTCTTCAGTAACATGTGTTCAATAGGTTTTGTGTTGTTTCAGTCATCTGATTTTTAGAATAGTGAGAACGTGTGCTTTGTGCGTGTTCATTGATAAAGTGGGCTACATCTATTTTTTCTCTCTCGACCCGCTTTTAGCTTTGTATTCTGCCTGTTGTGAAAATAAAAGCTGCCATCAGTGATGTAGAAAACTGCCCCCTCATAAACAAGAGGACAAGACATAGTTTTATATTTGGAAATAACTACAGCAGCTGCTTGCTTTGTATAGTACATAATGACTTTGCCACACTCAATCCATATGGTCTGCTAATGAGGATATGATGCAAATTGTTGAAAGAAAACACACAATGCAGTAATTAATAAATATCACATTATCTTTCCCTCAGATCACTTTTCTTCTTCCTTTAACACGCAGACAGGGTGCATATGTAGAACACCCAGAAAGACATAAATACATTCAAGGGCATTAGCCTGAGAGTGTTTTGCAGTGAGACATGCAGTGCTTAACAATATTTTTTTAAATGGCATGAACTAACCACAGCTGGCCTTTTACTTCAAGGAAAACATGTGTAAGAGCTTATAGACAGGAAAACACATATAGGTGTAAAATAGTGACTCGGCCCCAGCTCTTATAGGAAAACACCCTAAACACACTTTAGTATATTGTGTTTATGGATCTAAATGCAGAGTGATTGCCACGAGATGCAAGCTGCAAAGCCAGATATGCAAAAGCTTGCATATTCATATGCAGAAAACAGCAGACTCGAAACAAGAGTATGATTTACAGTATACTATGTAAGATGCGTACTTTATAGATCAGTAACTGTTACCAGTATGCTGATCAGATGTTGTGGGCTGATCACAGACAGTGCATAGTGCACACTATCCCCCAAGGCAGAGTGAGAGTACTTGCTGTGTAAGGTTTTGATTTCCTGTGCTCATTATGAAAGGTAAAAACAGATGAATAGACAGCAGTGGCCATCTTGTCGATGAGGTTTGCATAATGATGATACAGCATTAGTAGAGATAAGAATGTGCTGTTTTGACAATCATCACCGGGCAAAAAGAAAACAGCAAGCCATGTCTACTTAATCATAAAGCAAAAGCATGATTCCATGTGAGATGCGACTCGTGTTTCTTAATAGGGATCAGAAATCTGACCCGATCTGCTTGAACTAAAACATTTTCTTCCAGAGGAGCTACTGTACACTAACTCCATCTCTCACTGAAGACCTTTTTTCTTTTGGGGCTTGTTAGGTAGCTTGCCAGCATCACAGCTAAATGAATTCCTTGCCAAACAGCTTCTTTAGCCAGCGAAGGAGCCACAGTAAGTGAATGTTTGATATTTCTCCACTGTGCCAGGCTAATCTGGCCCTGTGGCATGCCATTACGGGGCTAATAACAGCTGTCTATGGCCCGGAGGGGACACAAGCAGGCCTGGCTGTGCTAACTGGCCCTGACAGACTCATTAGGAGTGCTGGCACCCAGAACAGCAAAAGCCAAACTCCTCACATTTCCTTGCTGGCTCACAACAGTTTGCAAGTGCAAGAAGCATTGTTCTTTACACTTGTTCTCTGACACCTTTCTTTTGTTTTCTACTCACTTCAGAGGCTCTCACCTCTCTCTTTGACTTTTTTGGTCAGGTTTGGGTTTCTGTGATATTTTTTGCCAAACCAGATGCCGTACCATGTCTACTTGACCTCGGGTTGAATCTAACCTCTTATTCTCTCTCTCTATTTTTTTTTTTTTAAATCCTGCCCACCCACTCTCTACTGCTGACCAAAATAGAGCAGGCAAGATTCACTTGTTTGTTCATGCTATTGTAATCTTTGCCGAAAAAGTAAAAGGAACATAAATGAATACATAACTAAATAAATGACTCGGAACTTCTAACTAACTTTGTTTATCTGCCACAGGAAGACGCTGCACCACACCAGGAAGACGCTGGCATCCTCTGAACTTTGTATTATATACAGTGTCTGTTTGGGGACAAAAGGGGTTTCCCCAGGCAGACAGCACAAGCAAACACTGGCCTGCCACTTGGCAGGGCCAAGCCAATCACTACAAGCAGAGCAGGCTGACAATAAACACAAAGGTCTAATGGCAGTGGTCTGCATATAGAATCATTAATAACTTGGGAAGCATGCATGGTTGCAAGACTCCAGCCATGCAACAAACATTCATGTCTTCATTTTGATTTACATAAAGATTTGTTTTATTCTGATGCATGTCAAGGTGAGTAATTCAAATATCTGTCAGTGTACCATTTAACATATATTAATGCACCATCAATGCACATTTTCCATGTTTTCTTATCTAATATAGAGGTATCCAATTTTTATCCAATACAATTTAATTTCTCGAGTCATATTTTTGAACTGCCAAATAATCTCTCTTTTTTTTTGCAAAGCGATATTAGCTTGTTTAAAACACAGTGAGCACTGCAATAGATTTTCTCATTAGAAATCAACACTGGCCTTCCCTTTTTATAGGCTGCACCACTGGGGGACTGTAAAGCCGAAGGAGCAGCTGTGGGGGTATGGTTACCTGTAATGCTAGCTGTTGCATGTTATATTATTTACGCAGATCTGGACTTAATGGAACACATGTGCATCTGAAACCGACATTCTTCCCAGATTAGTTGAAAGCCGGCACACACCAGACTCTACCAATGAGAGGAATGCAAGGCCGAGACAGGCTTATGAGGAAACACTATCACTCATCTATGGTTTAAAATACTTGCAATGTATGTGTGCACACACACACACATACAGACACACACACACACACACTGTCATGCCTGTACACACATTCTCTACTGATATATCTTGTACACAGCACTTTGTATAGTAAGCACTCAACAATGGGTGCACACTGACATCAGAAGATCAATAATACAAAACATTACACTCATTCAAAACAGTCAATCAGTCTTTACACCCTTAAAATGGCTATTTCTTATGCTCTACTAAAAACTTGTCAGCTGTATTGCATAAACATAATATCAGTCGGATTTATAGATGTGGTGGTCTAACACTCAGTAACAGAGTATGAATCACTTTTTCAGTGGTTTTTTTAAGAGTCTGAGAGAAAACCAGCTGCAGGATACAACATCAGTTTGCATATTGCATTGTGATGAATCATTTTCTTTCATACACTTTTCACAGTATGTGATATAATTTTGAGGACAGATGTTACAGGTTTTTCTCATTTGTTTGTGATCTGTGATTCTAACACTTACTAGTGTTTGTGTTACATTTTTAAGGAAAAGCTGAAAGTACATCTATATTTGGAGGGGTTGTATGTTCTGTAATCCTACTAGAATATTATTACAGCTTGCTTTGATTTTTTTTTCCACTCCTCAACTTTATGTAACTAAGTTTTCTTTGCAGGGAACTTGAAAAGGATTAACTGACATCTTTTGATGTTAATTTATCCACAGTCTCTCTGCTACCATCTGTGAGTTCCAGCCTGCAGACCTTGAAAACACTGACATGTAAGTGCTGTTTATTTCAAAGAGAAGGGTGTACAAAACTATATCAATAATAATAATAATAATAATAATGTGCTGAAAGAAAATGCATTAATATGTTTCTTGTGTTTAAAGCCGTTTCAGATTTAATAAATGTGTAATATAAATTGGTTTAGATATTTCAGTAAACACTGAACTCCATTTAGCTGTATTTAAGTACTGTTATATCTTTCCAAGAACTGCGCTCAGAAAGACATTTATGTTTTAATGTCAACTAAAGCTTAAACAGCTCGACCATAACCAGGACATGAAGCCAGGGGCTACTTGCCTCAGGCCAGCACTGCCTCTCAAACTACTGATCACACCATTGGGAATATCCAGCCAACGGCAGCATTTAAGCTGTGGCTGTTTATAGCTGACCGCAGCTTTTCCAGCGACTACATGTTCATTCCTACTGTAAACATGTCAGTTTGTATGATTAAGGCTGCACTGGGAAGAAATGCCATTATAACAATTTGACCAAATAATTATTATAAGTAAAATTAACACAGTTTTTCCTTCATATTATATCTATACCTGCTTTGTACTTTCCAGTAAAAGCCAAGTATAGATAGTATAGCTTTGTACTTTCCGATCTCCTACACCCCTCACTTTGCCTCCACCCTTTGTCTTGTCTTGTTGCCTCATCTTGTGTTTACGTTTCTCCAATAGTTTTTGTTCCACTAGTCAACACAGATCATAATTTACGGGTAGTAGTGTGTGTGCGTGTGTGTTTGT